CTTTTGACCCTGAAGATTTAAAATCACTAGTCCTCTCTCACTATCAGAAACTGATTCTTAAAGTGAACATGGATTCTTTGCTTCTCAAATAGTTGTTGGAAAGGTAGAAAATGACATTCTCTATCTTTTGCTTAAAAAACTTTGTGTTAGCAGACAGGTAAAATCTTCTGGATTTTGGAGCTAATTAAACATGAATCAACAATGTATTTAAGAACATTTGATAATATCTTGCCTTTCATGGATCTTACTCTGCTAGTCAAGGTACTTTGCTCATAGAGCCTGATAAAGTGTCCAAACTACATTGGACACACACACACACACACACACACAATCACTCAGTTTTACTTTACTTGCAACCATATATATGATACCTGGCAAGTAAAACAAGTTATTTGATTTGAAATAGAGCAGCAAGTAGAATTTTTATTGCAAAGTTGGCAAAAAAAACTTGAGCCATTCTTTTCTAAATACACTTAAGGCTTAAGGGGAAAATGACAGATTTGTTGTGCTTGTCATAAAGGTGCTTTATGATTTTATAAAAAAAAAAAAAAGCAAGCCTTTGTTCCTGAAAACAATTCAGTCACACTAAAAAGGAAAGCCAACAAATTAACTCCAGTCATAAAATGCTGTCTTTTGCTTTTCTGATAAAGGATGTGGGAAGGATCATCAATCATGTAGAGGCAGTGATGAGTGCTGGTGTGACAGCCAAGCCCAGGTTAAGTCAGACCAGAATGGGTTTGAATCCCGTATAGCCTTTATGAGCTCTGGGTCCTGGGCAGGTTACCCAGCTGAGTCTTTCTTTTCTTTCTTTCTTTTTTAAAGATTTAATTTATCTGACAGAGAGAGACAAAGCGAGAGAAGGAACACAAGGTGGGGGAGTGGGAGAGGGAGAAGCAGGCTTCCCGCTGAGCAGGGAGCCCAATGCAGGGCTTGATCCCAGGACCCTGGGATCATGACCTGAGCCGAAGGCAGGCGCTTAACGACTGAGTCTCCCAGGCACCTCGCTTTCTTTTCTATAAAATGGGCATAGATGCCACGGGGTCGCTTTAAGGATTAAGTGAAACACACATATAAACTGCTTATTGTCATGCCCGGTACAAAGTAGATACAAATCCTTGTAGTAAAACTGCAAAAGAAAACAATATCGAAACGACTTTAATGACAACTGCACATGACAGAAGCAACCAGCGTTCTCCGACTTGAGAGGCAGGTGGGCTGCGTGGCTGGGTATGCGCTCTGGTTTCTGATTGGCTGACGTCTCAGAGCTTCAGGAGGCTGTTTCCAGCGCAAGGTTGTTTCACTTTATTTGCTATAATAAATTGCCCCACATTATAGCAATAACATCAATAAAAGTCATGCCTGATGCTAATGTGCTATGAATGTCTCATCAGGAACTTCAGAAAATTAGTCTAAAACTGCTCACCACATCCAAAATCAGAGAGACTCATTTCTCAGTCAATTAGGTATGAAGAGTGAGTGAGGCTTCAGCCAAGTGTGAAAGGCTCTGGTGCAACGTTTCCCCAGATGAAGGCCTGCTTCTTACTACTTAGGTTCTCACAAGGTGAGGGAGACAGAAGAGAGCTTTGGACAAAGATAGTGAGAAACATCAGTAAACCCCTGCACGGCCTCAGTTTCACTAACAGTACCTATGTGTTTGGTTTCCTACCTAAGTGCTATAATTGCAGTTGGCGTGAAATTTTGTGGGGGTAGAGCTTGGATTAAGCTATTTAATGAGGCTCTATATGTAAAATAAATAGCAATCATCATAATAATTAACACTTGTTAGGGTTCATAATTGGTTCTAGGCACTTTACATATACTAGCTCATTTAATCTTTGCAAAATTGCTACAAGGAAGGGAACAAGTGGGCTGTTTTATAGACAAGGAAATGGTACAGAGAGGTCAAGAGAATGGAGGAGTGGAGTAGTGTGGGATCTGAGGCTTTGCTCTTAATCACTTTCCAAGTTAGTGCTTCTTTAGTTCACTCAAGGGCCTTTGCATAAACATCTGTATTCATCATCTCCTTCAAAGGCTCATTTTCTGGAGTGCACAGTGGTTAGCAGAAGATTGTTAGCAGAAGATTGTTTCTGATAGACTCCTTGTTCATTCACTCCGCAGAGCCAGGGATTAAATAAACACCTTGTATATGCCAGGAAACGTGCTAGGCCTCAGGAGTTATTACTTCATAACAATAAAAAGGGATTCTGGCCTTCTTTTTTTTTTTTTTTTTAAGTAAATTCTGTTTTCTCAATTGGGAATATATGAGTATTTTCCATAAGGAGACACAAATTTGGTGTGGGGATGATAAATTGTATAAAGGGAACTGTAGCTCTAGATGGGCTGACAAGCAGGTTTGACAAGCTTACGAATCATTCCTCCATCCAGGAACGGCATATAACACTTCTAGCTTCCACCAACAGCTTTAGCTTACGCTGGCTAAAAGTCAGGCCACTCTTGTGGGGGTTTTGGGGAAGTTTCCATTGTTGGTATTAAATGTAATACTCAGTTCCTACATAAAACCATCATAAAGCATAATTTTAAATGATTCTTTGCAGGAATAAAATATGTTGTAGCTGTGTATACATGAATACACTTCAGACAAATTGAGTGTCTAAATATTGACTTTAAAAGAGGAATATAGGGGCGCCTGGGTGGCTCAGATGGTTAAGCATCTGCCTTGTGCTCAGGTCATGATCCCAGGGTTCTGGGATCGAGCCCCACATCAGGCTCCTGGCTCAGCAGGGAGCCTGCTTCTCCTTCTCCCTCTGCCTCTCTCCCTGCTCATGCTCTCTTTCTCTGTATCTCTGTGTCTCAAATGAATAAATAAAAATCTAAAAAAAATTAAATTAAATTAAAAAAATAGAAGAGGAATATATCACAGGCTTAGTTTTTAAATGGATACTTTGCTTTATAGTTATATTCTTATGTATATCAATTTTTTTCTTTAATTTTTTTTAATTGAAGTACAGTGGATGCACAGTGTTACACTGGTTTCAGGTGTACAACACAGTGATTCGACATGTCTCCATGCTATGCTGTGCTCCCCACAAGTGTATCTACCACCTGTCACCATAGAACACCATCACCACACCACCGACTCTATTCTCTACGCTGTCCCTTTTATTCCTGTGACTTCTTCACTCCATAACTGAAGCTGTATCTCTCTCTCCCCTTCACCCATTTTGTCCATCTCCCTACTCTCCTCCCCTTACATATATCAATTTCTAAGAATAAATCTATTGTATAAAAAACATAAAGACCATTTTCCCACTTAAAATGTGGACGTAAAATGACTACATGACAGTAGGCTTCGGAGCTGTGGGGGTCTTCAGCAGACACACTAGAAATAAGTATCTCTAAGGACAGGAAGGGTGTTTTCAAAAACTTAGCATAAGCTCTAGGCATGCTAGGCACTCAGAATGTATTTATTTCATGCAGGCAAAGGGAAGAAAGAATGGAGTGGAAGGCAGGGTCGCTGTGTGTAGCCGGAAGGTTATACACTCCTCCAAGAGAGACCGCTTTCGCAGCCAATTCTGATGGAATAAATCAATGGAATGGAATAAACAGAATAAATGAGAGCAGCCTTAACGTTACAGGGGGGTTGCAGCAGCCACCCTGAGCCCCAAATATTTTTAGAATAGTAAGTTCTGATGAGTTCTCCCTTAACTTCAGTAATCACCGCTGTTGACAAGAATAATAGCATACTTTCTTTGTCTCGTAATGAACAAACTGAGAGGCTCAGTGATCCAATTGAAGGCATAAATGACTTCAGTAGTACCTCGAATCGGTCTAGAGTCTCCAAAATCCCATTTCAGTTTTGTACTTATCAGAGAGAGACATGGAGACACATCAGTCCTACTCTTCTCTCAGTAGGGCCACACTGGGGTTCAGGAGGTGGGTACAAGTGCTCTCTTGTGCATATAGCTTCTTGTTCTTCACATTGAGTCTGCAGTGTAGTTCCACTATTTTCAGTGCTGCACTAGATCTGTCTGAGGGATTGGTTATACCTAAAATTTCATTTTCAGGGTTACATTTATATGGTCAACGTTGAAGCGGACGGCCCCCATTTCATATTCCCAGTTGAGAACTATTTTTGCCTTAACCACTGACATAAATGCAATCCAACAGAGTGTAGTGAGGCACTTCATGGGACCTCATTGCTCTTTCCTGAAGCTCCCACTCCTTGGCCACAAACATTGCCTCCTTGGTCTTTATGCATTAATCATCAGCTTCGTTCTCTTGGTGGCATTTGTGGATGAGCCTAGTTTATGGATATTAAGCATAAAAACTTCAATTCACATTCTATAAATGGGGGCTGAAATTTTCAAAGCTGTTTTACCAAAGCAGTTATAAATCTAGAGCCTGAGGAAAGGAGGGAATTTAACACATTTATATATTCTGCTTTTCTTTTTGGTTTGGTTACCCAGACATCTTGGACCATGCAGGAATTCCAAAAGTTACTAAATTAAGAGACATTATTTTAGTCTTGCAAAATGGCTTATAGATGCATAGTGGACAGATAGGAGTATAGTCTTAAAAGGAAATAAAGATTTTTGTTAGTTAAACAGATTATTGTGAAAACTGAATCCACAGTATACTAAAATGTAGAGAACCTATTTGCATTTCTATGCTCATCTAATTACTCATGGTGGGGGTGAGACACATTCATTGAGTACTTATTACGTGCTTGGGACTATACTAGATATAATAAATATGTTCTTTTATTTAATACTTCAAATAATCCTATATTTTATAGATATCCTTATTTCCATTTTACAGATGAAGAAACCTAAGATTGCAGAGAGTTTAAGTAACTTGCCCCATTCACATAGCTAGTTAAGTGCTGGAGGTGGGACTGACTCCACCTATTTGAAACATGACATAGAAACTTGGCAATGACACTTAAGAGACTTTTGTCACACCTGTAAGCTATTTGACAATACAATTTCCTAATGTCTTTTTAAAATTCTGCATTAAAAAAAAAAGTCACTTTTACTTACAACTTATGGTTATTCCAAGTTCCACACTGTGCTTCTTAGGGAGCTTCACGTGAAATGTCCCACTACTTGGGATGACAGACTCTGGAATTTCAAAACAAAGAAGAGGATGTTTGTAGGAGACCAGGAAGCATGGAGCACCAATCCATGAAAATGCATCAGGAATTCTTGTATCATAAGCATCTGAAGTTAAAGTTGAAGGAACTGAAGTAAGGCGAATGCCTGTAAAATCCTGATAAATTATGTTGCTGGTGAAGAACAGATGTCCTGCCCAAAGGCAGCTGTGTGTCATTCACAGCAACACCTGAGTTCAGTATTACTGAGGTGTCATTTGGGCAACTTTTGAGCCAAATTCACCTGGAATGCAAGTTACAAATACAGATTCCATTCATTCATTTATTCATTCATTCATCAGAGAGACAGAGAGCACAAGCGGGGGGAGCGGCAGGTAGAGAGAGAAGCAGCCTCCCCACTGAGCAAGAGCCCAATGTCGGATTCGATTCCAGGACTCTGAGATCATGACCTGAGCCGAAGGCAGCCGTTTAACCGACTGAGCCACCCAGGCGTCCCACAAATACAGATTCCTGAATCATCCCAGATCTACTGAATCAGAATTTCTGAAGATAAAGCCTAGAAATCTGCATTTTAAGCATGTTCTCCAGGTGATTCTTAGGCATACCCAAATTTAAGAACCATAGGTCTCATTATTTTCTTTGTTTCTCTTCAACCACGTTTCCCCAGAATTACCTATTCAGCAATACTTTTTCTTCAACCGTTGTTTGAAGGTAGCTGGAGAATAGGTTTTAGGAGAAATTTCAGTTAGATGTGATGGTTGTTGATTTGGGGGGCAAGGAGGTGCCTTAATTTATAATATAAAGAGGGAAAAGTATACTCCAAGAGGTAGAAACAAGAGTGATACTCAGAATATTTCTCAACCAGAATGGTATTGGCCACAACCAGTCAGACCGGATGCTGCCTGTGGGGTTGGAACACAGGACTCTGGGAGGCCCCAACTGCACCAAGGATTGCCCTTTACTTTCTGGATCCTGGGAAGCTCCAGGAGGTCTCAGAGAGGAGCAGGAGGGCAGGGGGCACTGGAACAGGGTGAAGGTGGGCTCAGACACTGGCCAACCAGTACAGAGTTAACTAACATTGTTGTAACAGAAAGAGAACCAGCGTGCACTGGTTGAATCTCAACTGTGGAGAGAACTAAGTTGATTTTACCAGGACTTGAATAGTATTTGAGAGGAGAAAGAACTGCTACAAATTCTTAAATACACTCTTCTTAAAATTCCTTTAACAGTCTGGCAAACCTTCAATTAGAGAGAAGGTTAAAAAGAAAATACCCTCTGAAGAGATAACATCTATTCACACTAAGCTGCTAATGACTGTAATCCTTTCTTTCTTTCTTTTTTTTTTTAAAATTTTTATTTATTTGACAGAGAGAGACACAGAGAGAGAGGGAACACAAGCAGGGGGAGTGGGAGGGGGAGAAGCAGGCTACCTGCGGAGCAGGGAGCCCTATGCGGGGCTCGATCCCAGGACCCTGGGATCCTGACCTGAGCCGAAGGCAGACACTTAACGACTGAGCCACCCAGGCACCCTGACTGTAATCCTTTCTTGAAGGTTTTGGGAAGGGGTGGAAGGGGCGCATGAAGGGAAACATTAGCATAAGGGGAGGTTTGTGGGACGGCGGAGCTAAACCATTTTTACTGCTTGATTTTGCTCAATGCTAGCTCCCTGACCCACACACAAGGAATTAACTACAACTATGCGGCCCCTGGTTCAATTTGTTAATCACATATTTAACACATTTCCCATCTCTGCAAAGCACAGGGGAAGGTTGGGACTGCCTCATGGAAACAGAGCTAGAGTACTCCTTTCTCCTGCCTTAACTTGGTCTTCCAGGCCCTTTATACTTTCCCAGGAGAAATGTAGGCAGTAAACCTTTTACAAGACCAGAATCTCATCTTCCAACTCAGGAGATTTGCCAGAGACTGTTAAACTGGAAAACACAATAAAAATTTCTCTGGGCCCTCCGGGCTTTTAGGATGCCGCCTGTAAAAAAGTGTCACCAAGCTGCCCCTCGCAGTCCCAGCTGTTGTGCCAAGTAAAGGCAAGTCTTCTCTTTTTGGGCCTTTTCTTTCCTTCCAGTGCTTTGCACACTTCCCAAGAAAGCTAGGGAAGTTGCTGCTTCTAGCCCCTCACACTTGTCTTTCTTTCTTTTATTTTTTTAAGTTTTTATTTAAATTCCATTTAGTTAACATACAGCATAATGTTAGTTTCAGTTTAATGATTCAACACTTCCATACAACACGCGGTGCTCATCACAAGTGCCCCCCTTAATCCCCAGCCCCTATTTCCCCCATCCTCCTCCCCATTCTGGTAACCATCAGTTTGTTCTCTATAGTGAAGAGTCTGTTTCTTGGTTTGTCTCTCTCTCTCTCTCTCTCGTTTTTGCCCCTTTGTTTATTTGTTTTGTTTCTTAAATTCCACATACGAGTGAGATCATATGGTATTTGTCTCTCTCTGACTTATTTCGCCCAGCACCCTCCCACTCTCCTTAAACCTTCCATGAATGTCACAGACTGTGTGAGTGGACGTCTTTGGCTTCGCTATTGTCCTCAGCTAACACTCTGATATACTGGAAAGGACCCACATAGATTTGTTTGTTTATTCATTAAGAATTTATACCCTTGGGCGCTTGGGTGGCTCAGTCGGTTAAGCGTCTGCCTTTGGCTCAGGTCACGATCCCAGGGTCCTGGGATCAAGTCCCACATTGGGCTTTTTGCCCTCTGCCCCTCCCCCATCCTTGTGCTCTCCTCTCTCTCTCTGTCTCTCAAAAATAAATAAATAAAATCTTAAAAAAAAAAAGGAATTTATACCCTTCCCATTTCCCAATAGGACTTGAGATAGATAAAATTATTTCCCCTAACAGATTTCAAAAAGACTGGCTAGTTTTGCTACATTGGGGTAGAAAAAGGAATGAGGTAAGTTAACAACACGTAGGTGTGCTTTATTTCCTCGCTTTGGAGGCTGCAGATATCATAAATATTTACTTCCAAGATATTCCTCAAATCTGGGCCTTCCCTCTGTTTCCTAAGTCCTCTGTGTTCCCCCTTCCAATAATGGAAGGCTAATTCTCACCTTCTTCCCACCCCTAACGTGACAGTTTACGAATGTGGAATTAGCATGCAGACTGGGGGTAGAGAGGGAATTTGAAGTGGCCCCATTTTGCTCTTGGGCACCAACAGCCAGTCTGCAGAGAGAAGGGAGAAACAAACAGGAGTACAAAAGGAGTGTGCATGAGGTCTTGGAGAGTGCCTGTGCTTGGCCTTGACAGCCCTCATGTCTGGTTCTAGGCCTTCCTGGGGCTGCCTGCATATCCTGTCTTCTCGGGCTGTGAAACTCCTATGTGCTTCCAGTAAATGCCCCTTCTCTGTCTGAATTAGCTCGGTGCATGTCTATTGCTTGCAACTGAAAAACGATCTCTGATGAACACATTGGTCTAGCAGAGGAAACGGGATGGGAGCTAAGCAGAAAGCCTCCACAGAAGTGTTCATGGGTGTGGTAGGAATTTGAGTACCCAGATAAAGCACACAAGTGGTCCATAAGTAAATGCATAAGAAGCTTTAGAGGCACAAACAGCTTCACTCGTTATGGAACTCATTTCATGTATGTTTGTTTTAGTGTTATGTGTTTTTTACCCAAATTCCCTGTGCAAGGGGAGGGGAGAATATGGCATGCTCGTATGTGTGTATACATGTGCCGTATTCATGTAGGTATGTAACGGCTTGTCCATGATGCTATACAAATAAGATCTTGAAACCCCAAGGGCCAGGATTCATTGATCAAGAGTTAGTTACCACAGCAACATTTTGCTTTTATAAATTTTTAATGCAGGGAACCTTGACCAAGATTAACATTGTTAATGATGCTGGAGGAGATATTATCACTTCCTGGAAAACAGTAATGAATCATGTTTGACTACATAAGATTTGAAATATCATGATGAACAAATATCAACAAATAAATCTCTTTGATCAGCTGTGGCTTCAGTTTAATCTTTACATGCCAACATGATTTATTTTATATTTGGTAATTTTTTTGCCTACACAGTTATTTGGTGGTTAAAGCAGAGGCATATTTAATTTGGTGTTTCTTATAGAAATATTAGTAAAGAGGAAAAAAAGATATTTGGAGAAACAATAGGTTTAGAATAAGTAAATAGAATGTTTATTTTGTTAGACTCCCATGTGATTATTTTGTGCTTCCCTCATTTTGTTTTATCTTTGTTAATGCTATAATTAAAAACACATTTGGGTAAACAAAGGCTTCCTTCTTTCCAATTGGTCTGTTTTTTCTGCCTGAAGCATTCATTGTTGGCACAGTAAGATAATCACCACATCATAATTCATTATGGACATCCTTGTGAGGTTCGGAAAATTAAGAGATTCTAAGGGGGGGTGGTAAATGTAAATGCTTAACTCCCCCCCACTCAGAGGAAGGCACTGGGGGTTCTAGTAATGATGACAAACATCATTTGATAGGATTTTCACTGGGACTTCTTTCCAGAACAAAGCTCTATCTTTTCCAACAAAATAACTTCAGAGTTAAAGCAGAATCTTCAAGTATTTACAATTTTTTTAGACTGGTATTTAAAAGATAGTATTGAAAAAAGGCAAAATGTAAATTGTGTATATATTATGAATATAGCTTTTTTTTTAAAGATTTTATTTATTTATTTGACAGAGACACAGCGAGAGCGGGAACACAAGCAGGGAGAGTGGGAGAGGGAGAAGCAGGCTCCCCGCAGAGCAGGGAGCCCGACGCGGAGCTCGATCCCAGGACCCTGGGATCACGACCTGAGCCAAAGGCAGATGCTTAACGACTGAGCCACCCAGGCGCCCCTGAATATAGCTTTATAAAATTACATTTATGGTAAAGGACATTGGTAAAGAAATATAAAAAAATTTAACTTTTGTTTTTTAGAGTGATGAGGCTATGAATCATTTCAGCTTTAAAAAGAATTCCATAAATGTTACCACGATGTTGTTTGTACAGTAGTACCCATTTAAAGAGAT